GTCAGGTGTCAGAGCTCATCACAGCACAGAAACAGCTTTAGTGAAGGTTACAAATGATCTTTTTATGGCCTCTGACAGTGGACTCATCTCTGTGCTTGTCCTGCTAGACCTCAGTGCAGCATTTGATACTGTTGACCATAATATTCTATTAGAGCGATTAGAACATGCTGTAGGTATTACAGGTACTGCACTGCAGTGCTTTACATCATATCTTTCTAATAGACTCCAGTTTGTGCATGTAAATGGAGAGTCCTCTTCACACACTGAGGTTAATTATGGACTTCCACAGTGTTCAGTGCTAGGACCAATTCTGTTTACATTATACAGCTCAAAAAATTAGCAAAGCGCTATTGACTTCATGAACTTCTACACAGATGAAATTTTAACTATTAGAGAAAAAATTAATCATAATCATCTCACAGATGTAACATTATCTACAACTTCTTTCAGTACCATTGATATTCATTTAGAGTCTCTTTCTCCAATTGATCTTTCTGAGTTAACTTTAGTAATTATTTCCTGTTTCAGAGTGACTCTGACAAACTAGTTGATGCATTTATTACTTCCAGGCTGGACGACTGCAATCCATTATTATCAGGATGTCCTAAAAAACTCCCTGAAAGCCTTCAGTTAATCCAAAATGCTACAGCAAGAGTACTGACAGGGACTAGGAAGATAGAGTATATTTCTCCTATACCGGCGTCCCTTCATTGGCTCCCTGTTAAATCCAGAATTGAATTCAAAATCCTCACTTACAAGGTCTTCAATATGGTCCAATCTTATCCTAATGACCTGATAGTACCATATCACCCCATTAGAGCACTTCACTCTCGCACTGCAGGCTTACCTGTTGTTCCTAGAGTATTTAAAAATAGAATGGGAGGCAGAGCCTTCGGTTTTTAAGGCCCCACTTCTATTGAACCAGCTTCCAGTTTGGATTTAGGAGACAGACACTATCTCTACTTTTAAGATTAGGCTTCAAACTTTCCTTTTGCTAAAGCAGTTAGGGCTGGACCAGGTGACCCTGAATCCTCCCTTAGTTATGCTGCAATTGGTATAGGCTGCTGGGGGATTCCCATGATGCACTGAGTACTTCTTCTTCACTCACTATGAGTTAAAAGACCTCACTGCATTGAATCATACTTGTTGTTAATCTCTGGCTCTCTTCCACAGCATGTCTTTTATCCTGTCTTCCTTGTCTCTCCCTAACCGGTCGTGGCAGATGGCCGCCCCTCCCTAAGCCTGGTTCTGCTGGAGATTCTTCCTGTTAAAAATGAGTTTTTCCTCCCCACTGTCGCCAAGTGCTTGCTTATAGGGGGTCATATGGTTGTTGGGTTTTTATCTGCATGTATTATTGTAGGGTCTACCTTACAATATAAAGCACCTTGAGGCAACTGTTGCTGTGATTTGGTGTTGTATAAATAAAACTGAATTGAATTGATCTTACTCATTAACCATTTCTGCACATTTCATCAGGACACCTTGTTAAGTCATGTATCCACTTTGCTCAAATGCTGCAGCTGCCACATACATTCTATTTATTACCACTCTATGTCTGCATGCAGCACCAGTTCTCTGTCTCTCTCTCTTTCTCTCTCTCTCTCTC